TTGCCGGTGTCATCCGTACATTTCATATGATAAACTGCGAAAAAGTGTCGATTGTTTTCAGGTGGAGTTTTTGCTGTCAAAACAATCTGAAATCGATCACTTACCTCTCTGCTTATTTTTAGAAACACCTGGCGATTTAGGTTTGTTCTTATCCTGACTTCATTGATATGTAAACTGCCGCTGGCTAGCAATTGATTTGGCCTTCCGATCACCACCCAGAACCCGGCATTTTTCTTAAAGCCGCGGGTCGGGATTACGTGTTAAGAGGTTTTCTATGTAGCGTTTCGCTTTTACGCCCACTCACTCTCATCGTCTCACTTCTTGTGTGAGAGGTAAGCAAACCAGCCCTTTTGGCGTTTCTGCTGGGGCCGTATGCTGAATGTTGGGGAGGGGATGGGGTCCCCGACGGTCGACGGACTACTTCAACTCGGTCGGTACGGTAGGAGAGTGATGACGAAGTGGTGCAGCTAGGTCCAGCAGCTCCGCCAAAGGGCTGGTTTGCTTACCCCAGGACTAAGCCTTGGAGAGAGGGCGGACCTGCGCTCTCTCGCAGGTCCGTCCTCTCTTAAGGCTTAGTCCTGAGGTAAGCATCAAATTGAGGCGGTTTCAAGGACCGAGTTGAAGTAGTCCGTCGACCGTCGGGACCCCATCCCCTCCCCAACATTCAGCATACGGCCCCAGCAGAAACGCCAAAAGGGCTGGTTTGCTTACTTCCTTCAATCCCGATCAATGGCTAGGATACCTCGCGAATTCCGCGCGCCGTAACTCTATCCCCCTATGGTGAGCTCAGCCAGAGGACAGAAAATGTAGCTCGTCTCACGTGGTTATTTCTTTTGTATGGCTAGGTTTTTCACAAGGATGTAAAGCTTCAACGAGTCATAGTCAGCGCTGCCATCTATCATACCAAGCCGGGTGTTTTTTTTAAAGGACGAATTTACGATGGAAAAGCAACCCATTTCAAATTAAGGTAGGATGGTGAGTGGTACACGAAAGAAGGAAGAAACCATGAGAAACGGCCCAGAACCCGAGAAATGGGACCCCTTCCTTGCCCGTTGATTTGAGCATTGATGCGACTCTCATCGCTGTGCCCTCTTCAACACTACGCTCTCTCAGCTATCTAATCACTCGCCACGTATTGAACTACGGCGAGTGATCAGATGATCGGTGGGCGGAGATCGCCGACCCGCCAACTTTGAGCCATGCTAGGATCGCCGAGGTCAAATCTTTCGATGCCAATTGCGTGTCTGTCCGCACCCTCAAGGAGATTCACCGCTCTCCCCACTAGGCGATTTCTCCCTTCTTCGACCTTCGTTCTTTCCGTGCAATCCTCCTTTAAGTATGACTGTTTCAGTCTTGCACCTCACATAACGAAACCGATGGGCCAAAGGAGCTACACGTCACCATGCCTGAGTATCTGGTTCAAGACGTCCGCCACGTGCCAGTGCACATGCAGCGTGCGGTAAGGGGTCGTCATGCCGCGATGTCGCGTGGCGCACTGTGACACATAATTGGACGACTGACGCACTCGGACAGAAACGATTTCTCAATATGCTTTTCTAGGTTCCACCGTAAGCGCGTTCGCGGTGGGGCGCGCAGTGCCACATGTTATCGATTTGTTTTCGTCGTTTTCTCTGCGCCCTCCACGACGAGAGCCACGACGAGAATGTGGTCGTCAACTGTACGGAGCGCCATCGCTGTAGAAAGGAGAGTATGAAAGTGCGACGATTCTGCAAAAGGGAAGCGCGGCCTTCAGGTGAGCACTTGCTTCTCTGCAAGGCGCCAGATCTGCGTGCCGTGTGTGCATCGTCTGCCAGTGCTGCACATTTAAGAGGCCTGCCCTCCGAATGGTCGAGGAAAAGGTGCTATGGTGTCCCAGGTTCAGTCCCGATCAAAGGACCGGTGTACACGTGCGCCGTCCGATTGCGCGCTCCAGTGCTCAACAGCGCGCCCCAGTGCAACGTGGTTACGGTGGAATCCTAGGGAACCATACTGATGAGTCGTTCTTGTAGCACTCGGAGATCAAAACGGGTTGTTCTTCACTTTTATAGGAAGTCCCATTTCACCGTACCGTATCCTTCCTCTGAATCGGCAGTGATTTTATGCGCTCTCTGTTATCAGTTCATTTTGTTTTCGCTAACGATGCCATAGAGATTTGATAGCAGTCATTTTCTGATCTTGATTACTGAAGCGTACCTTTACCACGGCTGTTTCATCAGCTTTTACGAACGAGAGCGGCGGTCGAACTCGGAAGATATCAGATATCATTGTCCGTGCATTTGACCTGAATCTCTGTTTTGAAGAGCAGGATCAAGGGCGCGTCCCTATTCACTCGCAAATATGTACAAAGTGATCAGGTGGGACAACTTGAACGCAGAGCTCACGGTTCGCACGAACCATAAGAAGAGGAAACGCTGGGATTGATCGCTGTTTATGCGTCACGATTGCTCGTCATCGTGGTCATGAGGGCTCATTTGTTCAGTACGAGCATTTTGGCAGAAAATCCCCCTCCCCCCCCGGGTGAGCCGTCAAAAGTCCATGATTTTTTCATCTATTGTTATAGTTTGCATCAAAGCGCTCATGCCCTGGGGGGCATCCAATACAGAGCTGTTAAGTGAGGCTAGGACTAAGCCCAGCAAAGCGGAGAAACTCCAGAGAGAACACAAATAGCTCACGTGCTCCCTCAGAATGCCTTCCCCTTTCCCCGGGCTTGTACCTCTCAAAGCACAGTAATTGGCTGGATGTCCCCCCGTCCCCCCAAAGACATGAGCAGCCCGGCGTCTTGGATTGAAATGTGCTCTTCAAGGTCTACCTTAAACGTTTGTCGATCTTTTGTGGTATTCGTGATTTTCAATTCGATAGTGCATGGCTCATTCAACTTGTACTTGAAGACTAACTTCGTATCGGGATCAACCTAAGAAAGGTTTAGAGAAGAACAGTTATAACTGCTGTATTTGTACCGTTCTGAAACCAAACCTTCAATTGGAATGGTGGCTCGCCCGGTTTATTACCGAGTGGTTTCGACATTTCTGGAATGAATATACGGATAGCAGTACTAGAAATGTGTGCAGAGGTGCTAGAGAACCCACTTTAGAAACTGACCACCTGCAGAGTCTTCAATAAGCTAGTAACGACCTACCATACCAATTTCCACCAGCTATATAGGCTAACTTTAGGCCTATCATTATCAATGAAGTTTCGGTATTTGTTTACATTCGAGATGTGGTGGATTCACTACAGAAATTAGAACCTTCTATAACACATTCACGACGACGCCCCTTTTCCACCTTTTGTGGGCGCCGCCGCCTCACCACATAACCGCAGATTTTGTTTTGTAAATGAACAAAAACATGAATGTCACAAAATAATTTCTGCAATGTCCAATGCGTAAAGATTATCTAAACATATAACAGTAGGATTTCGATCAGAACGACAAATAGTGGTTAAAGAGAGCATTTATTCACTTTCCCGTGAAGGAATTTAAAAGCATTTTACACTCGATTACGAGGTTTGCCCACCTATCTGTCCATTCCTAGCGCCTGGCAAGCGATTATCAGTTGGCAGCCCATATGGGCTGCCATCGTCCCAAGAGCGCATGTTGTTGGCAGCCCATATGGGCGGCCATCGGCGTGAATGTTGTTTAACTTATGTGCGAGGGCAACAATACACTGAAGGGCAAGATCACAATAAGGTCGCAACCCGACGAAGGCGAAACTTACTTCGTGAAGGAGCAGGACGAAGACTGTTATCCCCACATAAGAATGACAACTAAGGTGTGGTCCTAAACAGCGAACTGCGCTGAGACATCATGCGGAAATCATTACCGACAGGGCGAGGTGCATTTCTTGGATTTTGATACGTTTCTCATTTTTTTTTCTCCATCCTGCACCACTGACCACTTTTACCTGAATTCTATTAGCTGCCCTCTATAGCAGGACTCCAAGAACGCTACTGGATCACTAGCACATAGAAGGTGGAGAACTAATTGGAACGGAAAGATAACCTGCCGAAGGGGCCATAATTTCTGGGTTAGTTTGTTATCGAGACTAGCAACATCTCTATTTTTGGCACGAAGTTACCTGCCGCAGGGACGAAATAGTTCCACCCTATGTTATTACTGCTCAGTGAATGAGATATGGCAGTGGTGGCGGTGTCCGTTCCTCCAAGGGGTGCCACTGAGAAGTGCCCACTTTGTGGGCTGAGCCGAGCACGGACGAAGGCGCTCGACAGGCCCTCGTGACAGGCCGGCTTACGACCAGGGTCAACCGTCCGTTCGAACTGTTCGAACGAAGGGGTCGCATTTTGGTCGGAAGGGGGTCGCAATTTCGAGGACTGCCAGCCACAGGCGCGTGCGTGGCGTATCCGAGGGCAAGACTTGCTTGTGCAGACCGCATTAGATTCGATTTATTATGCACAGAGAGGCAGTTTTAGGCAAATTACGGTGTTTTCCTACGCAGTAAAGAAGTGTTGAATGCATCCTTATGAAAGGTTTGACTTCTCGGGGCTGAAAATAAAGTTCTTCAAAGACCTAATTTTTTGGGGCGCTTCTTCTAGAGAACTGTAATATACATGAGTAAGCGTAAATCTCTTCAAAAATGTCTTCCGTCTCCCCCACAAGCTTTTTGAAGGAAGTTATTATTGCTGAAAGCTCAAAAACTCGCATGTGCTGCTCAAAAACCTATGGGAAAAATGTTCGAACGTGTGATTTTCTCGGAAAATGGATTTTGAAAAACGGTTTGGTGCTTGTTCAGAAAGAGCAAATCCTGTGCTTCAACCCCGTAAAAAAGTGCATCTCAGAAGTGAAAACGAAGTGAGTTATGCCCGCTTAAAGCAACAATCCAGGAACGAATTCGCGGGTAAGGACCACCTATAATGACGTTGCAGGTGAGAAGTTGGTCAATGGAGAAAGAAAAAGTAGAAAAAAACGTCGGGCAGGGGCTTAGACAGGGACTCCCCCTGCCGTTTAGGGAGACGTGTGTTGGACGAGTTGTCCGAACCTGCCCGTAGTACATGCGCTCCAATTGCAACTGCTGGCAAATAGCTGCATGCTTGCAAATACATAACTATTTGCCAGCAATCGAAATTGAAGCGCTTCAATTGCGTTCTTATGGAATCGACCTCATACAGCGCGGCGGTCCCGCAACGACCGCTAGTCGAGCAAGCGCTCTGCACAGCTGCTTGGAGGCGGCCCCACCACGGATCGGTGGATCCGCCCCTCTTGAAGGATTTCGACTGCTTCCAACGCCTTTCAGAGGTAAGTTTTGAAGTTTGTGACATTTCCCATGAACTCCAATCAGGCTGAGGCATGTTTCCACCACTTGAAAACCAAATGGTTGAAACCCTGCCTGGAACTTCTTGTAGTAGTTCCCATGTCCGTCTTTCTTGAAACCTGGGCATTCTTCATGAGTGTTTTTGTTAGTGCTGTGCCATACAGGTTTTTTAGGGTGGAATATTTATTATGCCTGACGTTTCGACGATTTCGTCGTTATCAAAGGCCTGAAAGCATATCGAAACGTCTTGTGATGTTGCCGCTCCGCTCAATGATTCTGATCAAAGAATGTTTGAACTGCAATATATTTAAGTGGTCTGGAAGATATTTCTCACAAATCAGAGGGCTTGCAATGGGACAACGGTCAGCACCGGTTCTAGCCGTCTGCTTCACGAGTAGAATCGAACGACCAGTGCTAGCACGCTTGCCCAGCACCGGTTCTAGCCGTCTGCTTCACGAGTAGAATCGAACGAAGCATGATCTTTAGGCTAGCGTTGCGCCAGCCGGTTTAGGCCGCTGCTTCATGAATAAAATTCGAACGACCAGTGCTAGCACGCTTGCCCATCATGTACTGCCGCTACATCGACGACTGTTTTGTAATCACATCGACCCAATCCGAAATGGATGAATTATTCAATATTCTTAACAGTCAGTCGCAGTACATCAGGCTCACTCGAGAGGTCCCGCGCGATGGTTGGTTACCTTACCTGAACACCCAGGTCAAGGTATCCAATGGCTTTTACAATGTGAAATGGTATAGGAAGAAAAGCTCCAAAAATATCATCATTCACGCACTGTCAGCGCACCCAAAAGCTGTTAAACGAGCAGTATTGCGTAACATGTACAGAACAGCTGTGGAGGTGTGCACCGGTGACGAGGAGCGAGAAGAGTCCAGAAGATTAGCTCATCAAATTGCTAATCTCAATGGTTACACAGCACGGCAGCGGAGTGAACGTAGCAGACCAAGGCCTTTTCCATATGGAGCTCAAAATAAGTTGTATCTTCAACTTCCGTTTATATCGGATCACTTTAGTGCAGTTATACAAGAGTGTCTGAGAAGAGCCGACCTGGCCAATGATGTTATCTTGGTCAGTACACCAAGAGACAACCTTAAACATCAATTGGTCAGAAATCGCCTCTACGACCGGAATTGCACCATGGATAACTGCGTGATCTGCCCGTATGGAAAGGTAGGAGACTGTGCACAAAGATCTGTGGTTTACCAGCTTCAGTGTTCAACATGTAACGCATTGGAGAAACTGGGAGACAGTTGGGTGTACGTATAAAAGAACATCTGGCTAGTAAACGAAGGGAAGGTTTGGACCGCACCGCTTGGCAAACATAGGAGGGAAAGTCATGCGGGTTGTGACTTTGACGTTAAGTGCACGATTCTGGCGTACGAGAGTGATATCGGTGCTAGGAAAACTCTCGAGGCCTTCTGGATAAAACAACGCAATCCGAGTATGAATAACAGGAATGAGTGCATTTCCATAACTGATGATTTCTTGCCATACATTCCGCTTTGTGAGCTCTGATTAGGCAAACGTAACGTACGGCACGTGCGCACTTTGCTAGCAGCACACAAGCGGTCAGTCTCACTTTTCTCCATTGACTCGCGGAGCTGAGCGGCCCGTCCTGGTGGAATTAAGGTGAGTTGACCGTTATTCGAACTTCTGCTCTATGAGTCGCGCGTAGTCGCGCGTAGTCGCGCGGGGGAGCTGTTACATTTAGTAGGAGTGGGTCAGCTATGAGCGGAACGGCAACATCACAAGACGTTTCGATATGCTTTCAGGCCTTTGATAACGACGAAATCGTCGAAACGTCAGGCATAATAAATATTCCACCCTAAAAAACCTGTATGGCACAGCACTAACAAAACACTTCTGCCTGGACTGTTGCTTTAAAGCCCAAAAACTCGCTTTTGCACGAAAAATGTTCGAACGGGACAATTTTTTGAAAAAGGGGACAATCACTAAACTTTTTATACTATTTTGTTAGAGAAATATTTGAAGTTTCTGAAACTTTTTACAGATTTCCAAAATGTCGCATACGAAAGATTTTATGGGCCTTCAAAGTTGAAGGTGCGCCTTCTTAGAATTTTGGGTTTTCCACTTCTAACAGAAGTACTTTCCGGAGAGTTAGGCAATCCTTGTAGTTTTCTGGAAGCGCACCTCAGGCACAATCAAAATCTACCTCAACAAGTCAAAAAAATACGTCCCAAGAAAGTTATTCCCCTCTAAAAATTTTTTCTTCGCCGCGTCCCGTTCTTCCAGCGCCCGGGTGATACCTGCCGCGCTCCAAGGCCGACGCGACGACGCGCAGACGCTTTCTGGCGCAACGGATTCATGTCTAGCACTCTTATTAACAAAAACAGGGGGTCGCAACTGGACCCCCTCGAGAGCTAGGGGGTCGCAAAAATCCCGAAAATGTTCGAACGTGACGGTTGACCCTGCTTACGAGCACCCACGTCACATCACAAATAGTAATGTCGCCATGTGAATTATGAGCATATAAGGAAAGCGGACCCCGCCTACGAGCGGGATAGACGCTAATGAAGAAGAAGAAGAGGCGAATGCAGTGCTTCTTGCATAGAGTCCTGGGTTTTCTCATAATTCCTGTCCGAATTTTGACACTTCTCTTTACTTTTATCTCTCTTTAAGAGCAATTGGTCAAAAGCATAACCTCCATCATGATCACTGATATTCATTCATCTGTAGGGGAATCTTTGAAAGCTTTCCACCCAGAATGAGTGAAGTGG